AGGTTGCTCAGTTGCATTGGGATTGTCGCGGTTGGAGTCTTTCGGTGGGAGATTCTACGGGGTGTGTTTGCCCTTCCTCCTGTGTCTGGGTCCTTCTCATTGTCATCATTGCCTCTCGTTCCTCCTTGCATCTCTGTACCCTCTCTTTCAGTGTAGTCTTTTCTTCTTGTGTTCTGTCGTGATCAAGGTATACTCTCTGGTACCCCTGTTTGTCCCTCAGTCGTGCTTTCTCTTGCAGGATCCTGGTTCGAACTGATTCTTCCTTGAAAATTACTTTGACAGGCCATATCCTTCAACTCGCAAACCACCTAATTCTCTGAAAATTTGTCACCTGGGTCATATCACCCTCGCCTATTGTTTTCATGATGCCTTCAATCATGTTTTTCCTCCTCCTGTTTTATTTCTTTGAAGTTGTCCCCCTTGGCTTCTTGGAGCCCGTAGATAAAAACTGACCTCACCCTTTCCTCCTCCCACTGAGTCTCCATTTGCATCCTCTGAGGTGTTTTATTTCCTTCCATTGAAATGTTCTTGCCTTCAGTCCCTGTCCTATCTGAAACTTCTATTCTCAGTGAACTGTCTTTCATGATCAGCTGTTCCTTGTTACTGCAGTTGGCTGTTAGAGTCTCTGCATATAACATACCTTCATTGTCTTCGGACCTGTCATTTGATCTTAGTATGCTCCTCGTCTTTTCCCTGGCCCCACGTGGGTCTGATAGGGCCTTCGCGTACGGCATATCTCCTTTGATTCTTACCATCCCCTTGTCTGTGCCTGACATAAAATTTCCTGATGTCGCATCTGAATTATCATTGGTCTCCCTAGTCTGTTTTAGGTTTTTCAGTTTCTCTTAAGCACTGTATCCTAGCTTCTGCTGCTAAGACCTGTAGCTCCCACTTCCTGCACTTTTCAGCTATCCGCTCCTCCATAATCTTGCCAAGCTCTTCTATCTTCCTTCCCCACTCTTCCTCCCTTTTTTGGAGCTCTAACTCCCAATCTTTCCTCCCTGGTTCGTCCACCAGATCTCTGGTTTTCCGCCCTCTAGGGTGTGTGTGTGTACTCACCTAGTTGTACTCGCCTAGTTGAGGTTGCAGGGATCGAGTCCAAGTTCCTGGCCCCGCCTCTTCACTGGTCGCTACTAGGTCACTCTCCCTGTACCCTGAGTTTTATCATACCTCTGCTTAAAGCTATGTATGGATCCTGCCTCCACTGCTTCACTTCCCAAACTATTCCACTTCCTGAGTACTCTGTGGCTGAAGAAATACTTCCTAACATCCCTGTGATTCATCTGTGTCTTCAACTTCCAACTGTGTCCCCTTGTTACTGTGTCCAATCTCTGGAACATCCTGTCTTTGTCCACCTTGTCAATTCCTCTCAGTATTTTGTACGTCATTATCATGTCCCCCCTATCTCTCCTGTCCTCCAGTGTCGTCGGGTTGATTTCCCTTAACCTCTCCTCGTAGGACATACCTCTTAGCTCTGGGACTAGTCTTGTTGCAAACCTTTGCACTTTCTCTAGTTTCTTCACGTGCTTGGCTAGGTGTGGGTTCCAAACTGGTGCCGCATACTCCAATATGGGCCTAACGTACACGGTGTACAGGGTCCTGAATGATTCCTTATTAAGATGTGGGAATGCTGTTCTGAGGTTTGCTAGGCGTCCATATGCTGCAGCAGTTATTTGGTTGATGTGCACTTCAGGAGATGTGCCTGGTGTTATACTCACCCCAAGATCTTTTTCCTTGAGTGAGGTTTGTAGTCTCTGGCCCCCTAGACTGTACTCCGTCTGCGGTCTTCTTTGCCTTCCCCAATCTTCATGACTTTGCACTTGGTGGGATTGAACTCCAGGAGCCAATTGCTGGACCAGGTCTGCGGCCTGTCCAGATCCCTTTGTAGTTCTGTGTGTGTGTGTGTGTGTGGTGTGGTGACTCTAGTCCTGTGTGTGTGTGTGTGTGGTGTGTGTGTGGTGTGGTTGTGTGTGTCTCACCATTGTGGTTGCAGGTGTCGAGTTTAGCTCTGGCCTGTGTGTGTGTGTGTGTGTGTGTGTGTGTGTGTGTGTTGTGTGTGCTCACCCATTTGTGGTTGCAGGGGTCGAGTCTTAGCTCCTGGCCCTGTGTGTGTGTGTGTGTGTGTGTGTGTGTGTGTAAGTAAAAGATGATAATTACATTGTTGTTGCTTGCCCTGATGACTCAAGAGGAACACATCCTCTGACTCTTCTACTTACCTCTTTAAGCTGCAGTATGTCTATCTCACACTTTTCCACTTAGTTTTGTCTCCTGCCTCCACTTTACTTGTCGCTTCTCACTTACTGTGAGCAGAGCCTTCAAGCGAGCAGCTTATTGGCTGAAACATCAGTTGACAACCAGTGCAGAACAGTTAGGGGAGGTGGCAGTCTCTGTGGGTCCTCAGGCCCTGATGCAAAAATGGGTTTTTCATTGTTCAAAAACATTTATTTTGTGGTGAGGCTCTGATGACCCACTAGGAACTGAACCACCAGCACCCCAATCACAGAGGAGACAGCTTTTGAATGGAGGAGGGATCCAGTATCTAAGTCACAGAGAGCAGCTCAAGGCCAGTGATGAGGATGGTTGCAAACCAAAATGCTACACAACTTGCTGGTCCAGGTAAGATTGTGGAAGACTCTTATTGCACACTCTGAGCAAAGCCCTACACCTAAATGAAGTGGCCAGCCAAAGCCAGCCAGACAATGCTAGTCAGAAAAACCCTGAACATTGTATTAATACTGCACATCTGAACAAGCAACAATCAGCAAGCAACTACGTGTAGGCCCTTGATACATATATGGAAGATCTACTGATGACAATCTGACCTAGACTTTCATGATCACTCGATCAGGCCACATAGGCATGTTATTCTGGGGTATTTATATTGAGTGAATGTATCATGCAGCAAGTATGGTCCTAAGACTCAGACAGGGTAACACTTCAACCATATTTATTTGTAGTCCCAATCATGCTGGATTAAACACCAAAGATGTGAACCTTAATGGAGAGCACCATAAATGTCTCTGAATTGATGAGCCAGGCTCAGGGAAACCATCTCTAAACCCTACCTAGGTGTGAACACCAGACAAGATACAGCAACCAGATCTTACCTCACCATGATCCTCATAGATGTAACAGGAAAAACCAGATGCTAAAGTGTGTCACACCACAAAGGGTTAGATGTTCCAGTGTGTGTCACCACAAAGGGTCAGATGTTCCAGTGTGTCACCACAAAGGGTCAGACATTCCACTGTCACCACAAAGGGTCAAAATTCCAGTATGTCACTACAAAGGGTCAGACATTCCATTGTGTCACCACAAATGATCAGACATTCCACTGTCACCACAAATGGTCAAACATTCCAGTGTGTCACCACAAAGGGTCAGATGTTCTAGTGTGTCACCAGAAAGGGTCAGATGTTCTAGTGTGTCACCACAAAGCCTCAGATGTTCCAGTGTGTCACCACAAAGGATCATAAGATTTTGGAGTAAAAGCCAAAACAAATTTAGAACAAATATGAAGAACATCCAGCTTCATCCTGAGGCAGAAGTTGGGTTGAATAGTAAGTTTTACAGCTGAAGGAGTTTCTGAAATGTCTTGATACTGCAGCAAAACAAGGGTTAGAATTGTACTAAAGTCTTACCACTGAAGGAGCATAAGTGATGTGTTGATCCATGGTTTTAGCACTGAAGGAGTCTCTGTGATGTGTTGATCCAAGGTCTTACCATTAAAGGAGCCTCAGTGAAATGTTGATCCAAGGTCTTACCACTGAGGGGCCTCGGTGATGTGTTGATCCAAGGTCTTACCACTAAAGGAGCCTCAGTAATGTGTTGATTCAAGGTTTTACTATTGAAGGAGCCTATGTGGTGTGTTGATCCAAAGAAAATTCAAAAGAATCTCAAAACTGTTCCAACCACTCTCTCCACCCTGCCCATACAAATGATGTCTTGAAAACCAGAAGACAGGCATGTAGTTGCCAAATAAACAATGTAGGGAAAAGGGTAGCATGACAAAAATTGATTCCCTCATGTGTAATTTAAAAAGTGTGCCTTCCCATGCTAATTGATGGACTGCAAGTCACACCCAGAGAGCTTAAGTTGTCTGGAACTCTGAGTGGAGGAGTCACGGGTGGCCTGGAGAAGAAAGATTCTGAGTAGTGATGCATACACGATAGGAAAGGCAAGCCCAGGCTGCTAGAATAGGTACCAGAAGAGGAGCTGCCCTGAGCTTTCACTCAAAAGCCAAAGATGTATATGAACACTGTGCTCATGCAAAAGAAGAGTAGGCAGAAAATTAGCCTTAAATGTCATCAAAAGATCCACCATGCCAGCAGCTACTTGTCCAGGAGTTGAGCTACCAACTATTTATTCATTATGTGATATCACAGGTGAAGATCCAAGAATCAAGCCTAGGGTTAGTGAATTGTCCACTAACCACAACAAGTACAATGAGCCTTAAAGAATGCTATGGACGACCTGGGAATTAGTATTTCATGCCACTTGGAAAGTGCCCAAAACTTTCATAGGCATGTAACCTGTGGACACTCATCTCTGGATGATTCATGGTGGCTCACCAAGGACTAGTCCATGTTAATGTAGTCTTAGTAATCTTCCTTGAAAAATATTTTTCATCAAGTAGCAAAGTAGTGCAAGTGTTGACAAGTGCGAATGGTTCATGCACAGGTGATTTGTATGATGGGCTGGCTTCTAGAAGATCTGCTTGCAGTAAGCAAGAAATTACAAACAAACTGGAGGGAGGAGTGGAAAAGTGCAAGATATACCTTACTGGGGCCTAGAGAGGTGAGTGAAAGTGTACTGGTTGTGTTCCTAGTGGGTCATCAGTGCTCTATCCCAGAACACACTTAACTACAACACAGAGCACAGTATAAATAAAAATAAAAACAAAACAGAACCTGTATAAATGCTCTAAATAATGCTCAATAGTAATTCAAATGTACAACAAAATTTATAAGAATATTTTGAAAACATGTTGAACATATTACCTGTATCCTGTGTTCAGTATCAGTTATATGCACAACTTCCTTACAGGCATCCAAGGCCGAGAACACTGCCTGCATGGCTCGAAGCTGGCACTGGTTGGTCAGGTCCGAGTGTTCAATCTGGATGAGGTCATTAAGAACCCCACCAACAGTGGACACTTCTGTAACAATCTATAAAAAAAATTAAATACTTTACACTGTACTTACTATCACTTGATATACTAAAAAGCATATTTCACCAGAATATATGTAATTTTGGGTCTTTTCTTAATTAACTGAACATTAACAAAAAAGGATTTGAGAGAAGAAATTTAATACTATTCTTACCCGATTGTAGCCATTCTTCAACATTGGACCAACAGTGGGATTTTCGCGATCTGCAAAACTAATGGTATTGTTGAGAGCCACAGGAAGAAAAATAATGCAGTCAATGTTGTGCTGCTGCATGCACACACACATGGATTGAACTGGGGTAAGGTTATTGCTAAAGACAGGTGAAAAATTAAGAAAAAGTTAAGGGTATTTATTCTATTAATATAGTGACAGTTCTTTTTCCTTTTCTCTATCCTGTACCTTATGTTCATGCTATAGTGATAGTTCTTTTCCATTCACTCTATCCTGTATCATATGCAGTTTAAAAAGCTCATGTCTTGACAAGTGCTGCACAAAAGACATTTCATTCTATATGTTACCCAACAAAAATATATCCATTTTTTGTTTTTCTGAACAACACAATATAAAACTATACAAAGCACCATTCATTATATACAGTACTATATCTGCTAGCTTCTTTCATCTACATTATATCGTTGTTACCATAACTATCCCATTACCCATTAATGTGGGTCATGAGGTACACCCAGCAACAATGTTAAAAGTAATTTATTACATTATGAAGATGCAGATATACAGTACATTAATTCTTATCTGTGCAGTTCATCTTTACAATGCATAAGTTATTTCTAATAATATACTGTAAGTCCAAGCAATCCTGAGTTCTGAACATGATGATATACAATACTGACAAGTTGATCAGTAAAGCACATGTGCAACAGTTACGTATCTTTAGTCCGGAGCTCTGTATCTGTATGTTGTGCTCCCAAGTTGGCCTATCTTAGAGTTTCATCATACAGTATAGTACAGTAGGAAAAAATGGTGATGATTCACTGTAAGATGGTTTTGATGGTACAATGGTTCAGATTATTCTGGAATGGTTTGGACAGTCAGTGTTCTGACAAGCTCATGGGATTTGAACCCCTGAGATTCAGTGTGAATGGGAAGGTAATGTTATCACGATGCCTTCTGTCACTACTATCATCGGAGTTTGTCCACACAGTCTGGTCCCCGACATACAGCATAAATCAGATACAGTTTAAGGGTTAAAAATACTTAATCTTAAATATGTATTACTGCTGACAACTCATGCAAGGGTGAATGTGTACGGAACCTCTCATAAACCTGGCTACCTGTTATATGTGTTTGTGTAAATTAGAAGCTATCAATCTCCCATGAAGGCAAGATTTCTAGCTCTCTGTATAAATATTTTGAACCCAAACTGTCTGGAGATGATCCTAATCATTACACAGTAAAATATCTCTGCTGTCAGAAGTGTTAGTACGTCAGTAGCTTTACATGGTTTAGTACCCAATTACCAGTACACTGCAGTATATTAGAAATATGAAAAATGTTTTACAGTTGTGGTAACAAAGCTATATATCAAGTTATAGAAGCATTTAATAAAACTGCCATAAAGGGAACTGCATCTTACTCTTCATATTGTCAGTACTGAACACTACATATGTATACAATAAACAATGTTGCAAAAACTACACTCAATGCCCTTTCAACGAGGTTCCTTGATGTTGCTGAAATGTCCTTGCATCAAATCTGATTATAGTCTATTCCCAAGGTTTTATGTAACTGCAATGAATTTAACACTTATCTACGAGTAAAATAATTTTGGAATACAGTAATAACATATCCAAAGTGCAATGTGCTGCAGAACTATACCAAATGTTCAGTGTGTTGCATATATAAATATTAATATATATAGTGATGTTTTTTCAACATCAGTGATGCTTGTTCTCCTGTGTCACCAGCTGCTGTATACCTGATCTCATGCATACTACTTGTTTTCCCTTTCTACTTCACTCATTTTCACTTCCTACTTTGCTCATTTTCACTCTTATTTACTCTGGCTCATTCTCCAGGTGCTCTTTTAACCTTCATGAGTTTAGAACTTCCCCAAGAATATAATATTAATTCTTCTGAGTAACTTATTAATTTACATATTAATGTACTGTATATTTATCACTTCAGCATGTAGAAGCTTGAAACAACTGACAAGAGAATGTCTACCATATTTTTAACTAAGGAAATTGATGTTAATGACTCATATCTTTGCACAATATTAAGTGTGGTAAATGTAATTTACATGAAATATCTCAAATACATTTATATCAATTACTTAATAAAATTTTATCATTTTTTTACTCTACACATAGGTATTAAAGTATAAAAGATGAGTTAAAAACTTACTTTTTCTTGACAACTCCAACAAGAACTGAAAACTGGCTATGGACTGTGACACGTATAGAACTACAGATGTTATCTGCATTGAGGTACTTGGATGATCTTGCATCTATGATAACGAGGTCATGTGTGTGCTCAAGGAAAGCCTTGAGAGCATCCTGAGAGGTTCGTCTGATGGCTACATCATATTCCTGCCTCTTGCAAGCTGACCACCATGCTTCACTTACGCTGTCCTCTCGCCCAAACACCAATAGCACCTAAACAAATTATAACACTATGTAAAAATAAATATATTTTTGTTATACAAAAGAAAATACTACAGGAATAGTAACAGAGTACATCTGTTATGTATACCTCTGATGATGATTATAAAATATTTACATCACTTTACATATATATTCTGCTGGATGTGCATACATGTATACATTTCAAGTTTATTTTAACCCTTATTCAGGGGATTAAAGTACTGTTTCCTTGCTTTGCTGAGCAGAAGAGAAATACAATCTTAAAGAGCCTTATGAAGTCAATAGCCTGTACACTTTAACAAATAACCTAATCACATGACTTTTTTTTTTATTACCACACTGGCTGTCTCCCACCAATGTACAGTAACCTTCCTCCCCCCCCCCAAAAAAAAAAGTTCACCTTCAATTATTCAATAGCTGTCTTGTCAGAAGTGTGCAAATACTGTATCACAATTTCAAATGACCTCCAACCCATCCTTCAGCGTGCAAGTACAGTGAAACCCAGGGTTTTGGCCGCCCTGAGAATCAGCCGCTTCGGATTTTGGCCACTTTTTTCAGCCAAATTTTGTCCCGCGTTTCAGACATTGCCCCAGGTTTCAGCCGGAGTACCAGACCTGTCTGCCTGCCCACGTTTGTGTGCCTGCCTGCACAGGCATCATGAACCAGTCTAGAGTTGATAAATTAGACACATGTGCAACTCTTGGGTATCATTATTGAGGAAACGTTTCGCCACACAGTGGCTTCATCAGTCCATACGTAGGAGAAACTAGAAGAACAGGAGAAGAATGAGGTAATCAGTCCCTCAACCTTGAGTCGATGTGTTCAGTCCATCAATAATGATACCCAAGAGTTGCACATGTGTCTAATTTATCAACATGTTGGTTCTCTGAACCATTCATCTACAAATCTGTCAGACACTGCAACTTCTTGGGATCTTAATATTTAGGAATTCTACGCTTGCCTAATTCTTGGGCACGACCTACTTCCACATTGAACAAATGTGACACGACCTATGACTGCTGCACCTCTCCTGCCATACAGTTTATAAGCTGCTTCTCCGCTGATATGCCGTATTCTATTCAAGATTGATGGACTGAACGTTTCCTCAATAATGATACCCAAGAGTTGCACATGTGTCTAATTTATCAGTCTAGCGTTGTTTATGCTCGAGTGAACATTACCCTGCGTTCTCATCCAGGCAGGCAGGCAGGCAGGCAGGCAGGCAGGCAGGCAGGCAGGCAGGCAGGCAGGCAGGCAGGCAGGCAGGCAGGCAGGCAACCAGGCAGGCAGGCAACCAGGCAGGCAGGCAACCAGGCAGGCAGGCAACCAGGCAGGCAGGCAACCAGGCAGGCAGGCAACCAGGCAGGCAGGCAACCAGGCAGGCAGGCAACCAGGCAGGCAGGCAACCAGGCAGGCAGGCAACCAGGCAGGCAGGCAACCAGGCAGGCAGGCAACCAGGCAGGCAGGCAACCAGGCAGGCAACCAGGCAGGCAACCAGGCAGGCAGGCAGGCAACCAGGCAGGCAGCCAGGCAACCAGGCAGGCAGCCAGGCAACCAGCCAGCCAGCCAGGCAACCAGCCAGCCAGGCAACCAGCCAGCCAGCCAGGCATTCAGCCAGCCAGCCATCCAGCCATTAACTGACTGAAATAAGCCACCATGGGCCCTGTGGTAAAGAAAGAGAGGAACACCACAGCAGTGAAGGAGGAGATAGTAGAAAAATACGAGAGTGGCATTTGTGTGGGGGAGCTTGCCAGGATGTACAGCAAAAACAAATCAACTATCATTTCTATCCTAGCGAAGAGAAAAGAACTCAAGGAAGCTGATGTTGCAAAAGGTGTTGTCATGTTATCCAAAAATAGATCACGAACAGTTGAAGAGGTTGAGAAGCTGTTGGTGGTGTGGATCAACAATAAACAGATAGTGGGTGATAGTGTTTCAGAGTCAACCATTTGTGAGAAGGCAAGGCAGTTGCATGCCGATCTTATAAAGAAAATGCCTGGAACTAGTGCTGATGTTAGTGAATTTAAGGCCAGCAGAGGCTGGTTTGACAGATTTAAGAAGCACAGCGGCATACAGTGTGGTGAGGCATCAAGTTCAGACAAATGTGCGGCTGAAAACTTCGTAGTGAATTTAAGGAGTACGTAGAAACTGAAAAATTCAAACCCCAGCAAGTGTTCAATTGTGACGAAATAGGCCTGTTTTGAAAGAAAATGCCATTACTCAGGAGGAAAAGGCACTGCCAGGACACAAGCCTAATGAAAGAAACGCTAACTCTTTTGTTCTGTACTAATGCTAGTGGGGATCTTAAAGTGAAGCCTTTACTGGTGTATCACTCAGAAAATCCCAGTGTGTTCAAGAAAAACAATGTCATCAAGAATAAATTTTCTCTTGTGGAAAGCAAATAATAAGGCATGGGTCATGAGGCAAATTTTCAAATAGTGGGTCCACAAAGTGTTTGGCCCCAGTGTGAAAAAATACCTCATGGAAAATAATTTGCCACTCAAGTGCCTCTTGGTAATGGACAATGCTCCTGCTCATCCTCCAAACTTGGAAGACCTATTGTCTAGGGACTTCAATTTTATAACAGTTAAGCTTTTGCCTCCTAACACCACTCATCTCCTCCAGCCCATGGACCAGCAGGTCATTTCTAACTCCAAAAAACTCTACACCAAAGCAGTGTTTGAAAGGTGCTTTGAAGTGACCTCAGACACTCGGTTGATCCTAAGAGTTCTGGAGGAAGCACTTCAGTATCCTCCACTGCATAAGCCTTATAGATAAGGCTTGTGAGGGAGTGACTTCCAGGACCTCGAACTCTGCTTGGAGACAAGTGGGATTTTGAAGGGTTTGAGGCTGACTCTGACCCTGCCGACTCTCTGCCTGTTGTGGAAAGTACAGTGGACCCCCGGTTAACGAACTTTTTTCATTCCAGTAGTATGTTCAGGTGCCAGTACTGACCGAATTTTTTCCCATAAGGAATATTGTGAAGTAGATTAGTCCATTTCAGACCCCCAAACATACACGTACAAACGCACTTACATAAATACACTTACATAATTGGTCGCATTTGGAGGTGATCGTTAAGCGGGGGTCCACTGTATTGTGGCATTGGGCAAGTCCATGGGGTTTGGAGGCGAGCGGTGAGGATGTGGAAGAGTTGGTGAAGGACCACAGGGAAGAGCTAACCACTGACGAACTGCAAAAGCTTCAACTGGAACAGCATCAGACCACAGCTGAGGAACTTGCTTCAGAGGAGGAGGAAGAGGGAGTGAAGGAGGGGTCTTCAGTGATTAAGGATGTGTGCAAAGTGGAATGAGTTGCAAACTTTTGTTGAAAAGTATCACCCTGATCAAGCTGAAACAAGCCATATCTGCAACATGTTCAGTGACAAAACCTTGTCCCACTTCAGGGAAATCTTAAAGAGACGCCAGAAACAGAGCACTCTTGACAGTTATTGTGTGACAGGGATCCAGTGACTCAAGCTGGTCCTAGTGGCCTTAAAATACAAAGAAGGGAAGTAACCCCAGATAAGGACTTGTTACCAAGTCTTTATGGAAGGGGATTACCCTTCCAAACAATAAGTCCTCCCTCTCTCCTCATGCCACACTGCACTTATGCACAGATTCTCTGACACTAAGTGGAGGAAGAATGGGACCTCCTTCATCGACTTTATGCAGCTATGGTTCATAGCACCTTACCTATGCAAGCAAGGTATATGGCTTGGCTTCTCCCTCTTCTCTTTGCCAACTAGATATCTTCTGGAATACAGCCTTCTGTGGTAAGCTGGGAATCTTTTCCTCCATTCTCATTGTGGCCTTGGGGGCAGAGTCAAGAATATTCCTTCCCTTTCATCGGTAAAGAAAGCAAGGGCTTGAATGCAAGTTCACTGAATAGCCTCACTCCTCTTGCACATCCCTGCCACCTCTTTCTGCAAGTTTGGGCAGCAGCTTCTGTTCATTCACGTTTAGTCCAGTCTCCCTTTGTAACCAGGGTCCACCATTCACTGTCCTATCCCTACCCTCATACTCCCTGGTCCCACCATAGGTGGACATAGATGCATTCATCTGGATTAGCCACACAAGACCAGGGAGATTCCCCAGATATCACTTCTCTTAAAAGTATGGTTCCTCATTCTCCATTTATATGGGTCGCTCAGTATGTACTGCATCTCCTTGAACATCCGCGGCTGTATTCTCTGATTTCTCAGTGTGTCAAGCCTGGTGGCTAGACCCCTCTCACTTGGTCTTGGGAGGGCAGTTATTTACCACTTACTAGACTCTGGATATCACCCTCTCTCACCCTCCTCCTCGGCTTTCCTATCTTCTACCCATCCATGGTCTTTGTCTCTTCGTCCGACTAGCACAGCTTCTGCTACACTTCCTGTGAATTCCAGATTGGAAAAGGGAGTATCAACGCATGTTGGAATTCAATACAGTGAAGTGGCTGATCAAGCGACCTTCCTTGCACACACACACACACACTCCCTACTATCCCCTTTCCCTAGGATTGGGCCGGAGTGAGTTCACGAAGAGAATCTGACAGAAAATCTGTCAACTCTAGCAGAGAGATTTGGTGTGCTCTCTTGGTTCCTGGGCACTGAACCCAGTCCGGTTTTTCAATGGCTCTTTCCCTTGAGCACTTCACCCCATTCAGTCAGTAGATGTAGCTCTGAGCCAACTCTGGGTGGGTCATTCATGGCTGGCAGCTCATTTACACCACCTCAGGCAGGCAGACACCATCCTGCTCATGGTCTTCAGCTGGAGATGGTGGAGGGTTTCCTGTTGTGGTGTGCCCTTTACCACACTGCTCAAAACCTCCTCTATATGGCTTTGCGTCAATTTGGGGTCCAGTCCTTGGTCCCATCACTCCTACTCAATAGGAGAGGGTTCTAGCCTATTGATCGCCAGATCTTGAGCCACATGTACTACATAAACTTAATAATACAATACAAGGCTTGTACAATGCTAAGAAAAATAAAACTTCATAACAAGCTTGATGGCACGACAAACTTGATAACAAGATAAGCTTGATAAAACAATATGTTTGATAATAAGACAAACTTTGTGACAGTATACAAATAACCCGCACGTAGTACCTGACCAACCTGGCTGTGGTTCGTACGTCAGCTTGTGTGAGGCCAGCAGTAACAACCTGGTTGATCAGACCCTGACCCACAATGAGGCCTGGTCTCAGACCGGGCCACGGGAGTGTTGACCCCCGAAACCCTCTCCAGATAAACTCCAAGTACAGTGGACCCCGCCTTACGAGTGCATCGCGTTACATTAAATCCGCCATACGAAGCATTTGGACGCAAAAATTTTGCCTCGCCTTACATGATTCGTCCAGGACTCATCCCACGTGTGGCCTCAGCTGCCCCATGAGTACCAGTGTTTACAAGCCAGCCAGTGCGGTTGCATCCACACATACATTTGGTACATTTCACCTTATCCCAGTGTTTTTTTGTGCTTGTAACTGCAAAATAAGTCACGATGGGACCCAAGAAAGCTTCTAGTGTCAACTCTGTGGTAAAAAGGGTGAGAATTAGTATGGAAATTAAGAAAGATTTTGAAGGGTTTGGGGCTAACCCTGAGAAGCCTATGCCAGTTGTGGAATCCATTGTGCCTACTTCAAAGATTAAGGAAATGTGTGCAAAGTGGGTTGAAGTACAAACCTTTACGGATGAAAATCACCCTAACACAGCTATTGCAAGCCGTGCTGGTGACTATTACAATGACAATGTTGTGGCCCATTTTAGGCAAATCTTAAAGGAACGGGAGGTACAGACCTCTATGGACAGATTTGTTGTGCAACATTGGTCCAGTAACTCTCAAGCTGGTCCTAGTGGCATTAAAAGAAGAAGGGAGGTAACCCTGGAAAAGGACTTGCTACCTTAAGTCCTAATGGAAGGGGATTCCCCTTCTAAACAATAACTTCCACACTCTCCCCTCCTCCCATCCCATCAATCATCGCCAGATCTTCAATAAAGGTAAGTGTCATGTATTCTATTCTTAGTAGAGTACTAATTGTGCATGTCTTCTTCAGTTTGTGTGTATTAAAATTAATACATATTTCATGTGGTAAAAAGCTTTTTTTTTTTCATACTTTGGGGTGTCTTGCACGGATTAATTTGATGTCCACTATTTCTTATGGGGGAAAATTAATTCACCTTACGATAATTTCGGCTTACGATGAGCTCTCAGGAATGGATTAATATCGTAAGGTGGGGGGTCCACTGAAATAGAAAAGAGAAGCTAAGGACGACGTTTTGGTCTGACTTGGACCATTTACAAAGTGACAAAACGTTTACGCAATAGTAGGAAATAGAACCAAAATGAAATGTCATGTCAAATATTTTACATTATCGAGTATATGTTTTTTAACCCGGCCATCTACCAATGAGGCAGCGTGACCTGAAACAGAAGGAACGAAAGCTTTTCTTCTTTTTATATTTAGTAATTATGAAGCAGAAAGAATTACTAGCCTCTTGCTCCCGGCACTTTAGTCGCCTCTTACGAAACAATGGTGTCGAATGGTTAGTGTTTGCATTTAATAAATGTATGAAGAATGGAAGGTACCTAGGGAGTGGCAGAGAGCATGCAGAGTTCCTGTGTATAAAGGCAAAGGGGACAAAAAGTTTAAGAATTATAGGGAAATAAGCCTGTTGGCTTACAGAGGAAGAATTTTTCTCCACTTCCCACAAAATAAAGAATATAAATATACAAATCAAAGAAGAGTGGAGTAAGAACCAACCTTCAACTTCTTCTTCAAGACCTTCATAGGTCCTACTCGCAAGAAGCCACATTCTGTCTGCAAGAAAAAAACAAAATTAGTTAAATATGAATATTTTTTACAAGGAAAAAAGAATAACTTTAAAAATCCAACTTATCTCAATGTTCATAAAATCTTGTTATATCCAGATCCGCTCCTTTCAAAAAACCACACACAGGTTCATTATTTAAAAATACAAAGTATTTATACTACGGCAACAACTGGTATTTCTCGGGAAATTTTGAAGCGTTGCTAGCAAAAATATTTATATTTTGGCTGGAATGCCACGTCAATGATCAGTACAGTGTTAGTTGATGTATCTCAGTCAATGCTCAGTATAGTGTTAGTTGATGTATCTCAGTCAATGTTCAGTATAGTGCTAGTTGATGTATCTCAGTCAATGCTCAGTATAGTGTTAGTTGATGTATCTCAGTCAATGCTCAGTATAGTGTTAGTTGATGTATCTCAGTCAATGTTCAGTACAGTGGACCCCCAGTTAACGATTTTAATCCGTGCAAGAGGGGTAATTGTTATGCGAAATAATCGCTATGTGAATGAATTTTCCCCATAAGAAATAATGGAAATCAAATTAATCCGTGCAAGACACCCAAAAGTATGAAAAAAAAATTTTTACCACATGAAATATACATTTTCCCACACACAAAGAGAAGGATACATGCACAATAGTAGAGTAGTACATGCACAGTATATATTGTGCATGTACTAGTCTACTAAATGAAGAATAAATGACACTTACCTTTATTGAAGATGCAGCAATGACTGATGAGACACTGTGTCCTGGGAGTGCCTTTTCCTCCCGAGTACTGTAGGTCCTGTCTGGCATTTTCTTCCAGAACAGGCCTTATCACACTGTGTATGCCACTACGATTCTTAAATCTCTCAAACCAACCTTTGCTGGCTTTAAATTCACCAATATGAGCACTAGTTCCAGGCATTTTTCCCTGTTCACATGGGTGTTAGTCGACTTGTGTGGGTTGCATCCTGGGAGACAAGATTAAGGACCCCAATGATGACACTGACTTTTTTGGGTTATCCTGGGTGGCAAATCCTCTGGGGTTAATTGTTTCTTGGTATTCTCAATAAGCCACACCAACAACGGTGCTACAGCAGCAGCAGCAGCAGCTGACAGTGCAGCAGCAGCAGCAGCTGACAGTGCAGCAGCAGCAGCAGCAGCTGTACCACCAATAGTAGCGATGGTTGATTGGGGTTTATTATACAACCTGGCCAGCTCGGAGACATGCACTCCACTTTCATACTTATCAATGATCTTTTTCTTCATCTCTATTGTAATTCTCACCCTTATTGCTGTAGGGTTGGCACTAGAAGCTTTCTTGGGGCCCATGGTCACTTATTTTCCAGAAAAAGCACCGAAAACACTGTAATAATACGAAATATTCCGATTGTATGCTTGGATGTTACCGCGGAGGCTGGCTGGTAAACAATGCCACCGGCGGAACATGTGAGCGTGGCTCAGGCCGCACATTGGACGCGTCTCGGACGAAAATCGGTAAGCGGGTTTTTAAGCGGTATGTGAGGCAAAATTTTTGCAATTAAAGTAAGCGGTATGCGAAATAATCGCTATGTGATGCCATCGTTATGCGGGGGTCCACTGTATAGTGTTAGTTGATGCATCTCAGACAATGTTCAGTGTAGTGTTAGTGGATATATCTCAGTCAGTGAATGTTCAGTATAGTGTTAGTCAATGTATCTCAATGTTCAGTATAGTGTTAGTTGATGTATCTCAGTCACTGCTAAGTATAGTGTTAGTTGATGTATCTCAGTCACTGTTCAGTATAGAGTAAGTTGATACATCTCAGTCAATGTTCAGCATAGTGTTAGTGGATATATCTCTGTTTACCTGGAGTTTACCTGGAGAGAGTTTCGGGGGTCAACGCCCCCGCGGCCCGGTCTGTGACCAGGCCTCCTGGTGGATCAGTGCCTGATCAACCAGGCTGTTGCTGCTGGCTGCACGCAAACCAACGTAAGAGCCACAGCCCGGCTGATCAGGAACTGACTTTAGGTGCTTGTCCAGTGCCAGCTTGAAGACTGCCAGGGGTCTGTTGGTAATCCCCCTTATGTGTGCTGGGAGGCAGTTGAACAGTCTCGGGCCCCTGACACTTATTGTATGGTCTCTTAACGTGCTAGTGACACCCCTGCTTTTCATTGGGGGGATGGTGCATCGTCTGCCAAGTCTTTTGCTTTCGTAGTGAGTGATTTTCGTGTGCAAGTTCGGTACTAGTCCCTCTAGGATTTTCCAGGTGTATATAATCATGTATCTCTCCCTCCTGCGTTCCAGGGAATACAGGTTTAGAAACCTCAAGCGCTCCCAGTAATTGAGGTGTTTTATCTCCGTTGCGCGCCGCGTGAAAGTTCTCTGTACATTTTTCTAGGTCGGCAATTTCACCTGCCTTGAAAGGTGCTGTTAGAGTGCAGCAATATTCCAGCCTAGATAGAACAAAGTGACCTGAAGAGTGTCATCATGGGCTTGGCCTCCCTAGTTTTGAAGGTTCTCATTATCCATCCTGTCATTTTCCCTAGCAGATGCGATTGATACAATGTTATGGTCCTTGAAGGTGAGATCCTCCGACATAATCACTCCCAGGTCTTTGACGTTGGTGTTTCGCTCTATTTTGTGGCCAGAATTTGTTTTGTACTCTGATGAAGATTTAATTTTCCTCATGTTTACCATATCTGAGTAATTGAAATTTCTCATCGTTGAACTTCATATTGTTTTCTGCAGCCCACTGAAAGATTTGGTTGATGTCCGCCTGGAGCCTTGCAGTGTCTGCAATGGAAGACACTGTCATGCAGATTCGGGTGTCATCTGCAAAGGAAGACACGGTGCTGTGGCTGACATCCTTGTCTATGTCGGATATGAGGATGAGGAACAAGATGGGAGCTAGTACTGTGCCTTGTGGAACAGAGCTTTTCACCGTAGCTGCCTCGGACTTTACTCTGTTGACGACTACTCTCTGTGTTCTGTTAGTGAGTGTTCAGTGAATGTTCAGCATAGTGTTAGTTGATGTATCTCAGTCAATGTTCAGTATAGTGTAAGTTGATGTATCTCAGTCAATGTTCAGTATAGTGTTAGTTGATGCATCACAGTCAATGTTCAGTATAGTGTAAATTGATTTATCTAAGTCAGTCAATGTTCAGTATAGTTTAAGTTGATGTATCTCAGTCAATGTTCAGAATAGTGTTAGTTGATGCATCTCAATGTTCAGTATAGTGTAAATTGATGTATCTAAGTCAGTTAATATTCAGTATAGTGTTAGTTGATGCATCTCAGTCTATGTTCAGTATAGTGTAAGTTGATGTATCTAAGTCAGTCAGTGTTCAGTATAGTGTTAACTGATGTATCTCAGTCAATCAATGTTCAGTATAGTGTTAGTTGATGTATCTCAGTCAATGTTCAGTAGTGTTAACTGTTGTATCTCAGTCAATCAATGTTCAGTATAGTGTTAGTTGATGTATCTCAGTCAGTCAGTGTCCAGTATAGTGTTAGTTGATGTATCTCAGTCAATGTTCAGTAGTGTTAACTGATGTATCTCAATCAATGTTCAGTAGAGTGTTAGTTGATGTATCTCAGTCAATGTTCAGTAGAGTGTTAGTTGATGTATCTCAGTCAATGTTCAGTAGAGTGTTAACTGATTATCTCAGTCAATCAATGTTCAGTATAGTGTTAGTTGATGTATCTCAGTCAATGTTCAGTGTAGTGTTAGTTGATGTATCTCAGTCAATGTTCCGTATAGTGTAAGTTGATGCATCTCAGTCAATGTTCAGTAGAGTGTTAACTGATGTATCTCAGTCAATCAATGTTCAGTATAGTGTTAGCTGATGTATCTCAATGCTCAGTATAGTGTTAGTTGATGTATCTCAGTCAATGTTCAGTAGAGTGTTAACTGATGTATCTCAGTCAATCAATGTTCAGTATAGTGTTAGTTGATGTATCTCAATGCTCAGTATAGTGTTAGTTGATGTATCTCGGTCAATGTTCAGTATAGTGTTAGTTGATGTATCTCAGTCAATGTTCCGTATAGTGTTAGTTGATGTATCTCAGTCAATGTTCAGTATATTGTTAGTTGATGTATCTCAGTCAATGTTCAGTATAGTGTTAGTTGATGTATCTCAGTCAATGTTCAGTATAGTGTTAGTTGATGTATCTCAGTCAATGTTCAGTATAGTGTTTACCTGGAGTTTACCTGGAGAGAGTTCCGGGGGTCAACGCCCCCGCGGCCCCGTCTGTGACCAGGCCTCCTGGTGGATCAGAGCCTGATCAACCAGGCTGTTGCTGCTGGCTGCACGCAAACCAACGTATGAGCCACAGCCCGGCTGATCAGGAACTGACTTTAGGTGCTTGTCCAGTGCCAGCTTGAAGACTGCCAGGGGTCTGTTGGGTAATCCCCCTTATGTGTGCTGGGAGGCAGTTGAACAGTCTCGGGCCCCTGACACTTTTTGTATGGTCTCTTAACGTGCAGTGACACCCCTGCTTTTCATTGGGGGATGGGCATCGTCTGCCAAGTTTTTTGCTTTCGTAGTGAGTGATTTTCGTGTGCAAGTTCGCTACTAGTCCCTCTATGATTTCCAGGTGTATATAATCATGTATCTCTCCCTCCTCGTTCCAGGAATACAGGTTTGGAAAACCTCAAGCCTCCCAGTAATTGAGGTTTTTTTATCCGTTATGCGCGCCGTGAAAGTTCTGGGTACATTTTCTAGGTCGGAAATTTTTCACACTGCCTTGAAAGGTGCTGTTAGTGTGCAGCAATATTCCACCCTAGATAGAACAAGTGACCTGAAGATGTCATCATGGGCTTGGCCTCCCTAGTTTTGAAGGTTCTCATTATCCATCCTGTCATTTTTCTAGCAGATGCGATTGATACAATGTTATGGTCCTTGAAGGTGAGATCCTCCACATGATCACTCCCCAGGTCTTTGACGTTGGTGTTTCGCTCTATTTTGTGGCCAAATTTGTTTTGTAAATCTGATGAAGATTTAATTTCCTCATGTTTACCATA